AACAGCCCAAGGAGTCCCTGGGTGGTGCACATGGTGGTGCAAACCAAAAGCTTGGAGGGTAAAGTCCACCCATAGTTGCCTCAGAAGAAAGGTCTGGAGATCTACTTCCAAGAAAATCAGTCACTGAAAACCCTATCGAGCAAAGTTGTACTCTGACATATATGGGGTCGCCATGAGTCAGAGCTGACTCAACAGCAACTAGTGGTGGTGGTGGTGGTGGAGGTAGTATGGTGGTAGTGGTATGATGGTGATAGTGCTGTGGTGATAGTGAGGCAGCCCAAGGAAAGCAATGATCCAGAGAAATAGAGTTATGTCTGGGCCAACCAATCCACGGTGATCTATAAACAAAGAGGCCTGGACTGTCTTTCTTGAAGCAGATTCCAGCCACATAAATCAAAGAGGGAGGCAGGCAGAAGTAGGACAGAGAATGGGTAATCAGGGATCTGCATTTATGGAAAGAGCAGCTCAGGGACAAACAAGACAGCAAATGATAAAGAAGTAAAATTAATTCCCAATGCCCTCTTAGGTTCCTAATTCTCAAGATACCAGGAGTTTCTTGTTGCTGCGATTGTTCCTGAATAATTAATGACCAGGAGGAATGAAGTACAAGGGAAAATGTGTGTATGCCTTAAATATAACATGTGAGGTGTTTTATTTAGCCAATTCACTATTTGGGGGCATTTGATTGTTTCTAATTTTTGATCTTATAAACAAGGCTCTGAATATTTTTTGGCTATAATCTTTTTATATACATATATATGCCTATTTCCATAGAAGGAAAAGGAATACCTAGAAATAGGAATGGGAGCTCTGGTGGCATAGTGCCTACAGCATTTGACTGCTAACCAGAAGGCTGACGGTTCAAACCCACCAGCCACTCCTCGAAAGGAAGATCGGACAATATAGCTCCGTAGAGATACCACCTCAGAAACCCAAGGAGGGGTCGCTATGATTTGGGTCCAACTTGAGGGCAGTGAATTGAGTTTTGAGATACAGGAACATCCAGGTATTCCTAGAAGTGGAATATCTATATAAAAGAGAGAGATTTTTCTATATTTAATGTATGGATCCAGGTACAAGATGAAATGCTCATTTTACCACCTTTGCTTCTTCCTCATGCCTGTGAGAAATCACATGATCATAGCCACTGTACTTCCTAGGCTCAGTTATTTACATGTTTATTGATGATTTCAACAACAATAGAGGAAGTTGAAGTAAGTTAGTTGGGAGGTGTTGAAATGATGGAAATTCTAAAGTTAAAAACACAAAGAGAAAGAGAAGGCATTTGAGAGGAGTGAAGGGTATAAATATAGTCACACAACAAATTACTACTCCAATTCACTCTTGAGAAAAACCTCCTCTTTAGAACATGTTGCTCAAGGTATCGTTACATTTTATCTGGTTTATTTAAATTGGATTTCTAGTTTACTTTTTCCTTTCTCAATTTCATCAGTTGTCCTCTCCTTTTAAGAGCTAACTACTTTTACTTCAATAATTGCATTTTAACTTATTTCATCACCTCTGGGCTATATAATTAATTGCATTTTGTTTTCCAACAGTGATTTAAAATGGACAAGGAAATGAATCATTGGAAGTTCACTGAATTTTAACCTCTTTTGGGGTACAGTGGGGGTATTTTAACCTAGCTTTGGGGGTACAGTGGTTAAGTGCTGTGCTGCCAACTGAAAGGTTGGTGGTTCAACCCACCAGCCACTCTGCTCTGCAGGAAAAGATGTTGGCAGTCTCCTTTCATAATGATTTATACCCTTGGAAACCTATGGAGCTGTTCTACTTTGTCCTATAGGGTCACTACCAGTTGGAATCTACTGGATGGCAATGGATTTATTTATTTATTTAAATTTTATATGAGGAGTCCTGGTGGTGCAATGGTTAAGCGCTATGCTGTTAACTAAAAGGTTGACGACTGGAACTCACCAACTGCTCCACAGTAGAAAGATGTGGCAATCTGCTTCCATAGAGATTTACAGTCCCAGAGACCCTATGGGACTGGACTCTTCTACTCTGTCTAGGGTTGCTATGAGTCGGAACTGACTTGATGGCAATGGGTTTTAATTTTATGTGTGTCTATTATAGCACTGTCAGATTGCATGTCTAATTATTTGTTGACTTTCACATCTCCTGTATTGACAGTATGTAAATTAGATGTCAATAAAGTTAACTTTTTGCAAAGGGCTAGTGCTCTTGGCTGCTAACCAAAAGGTCCACTCAGAGGCACTTCAGTAGAGGCCTGGGAATCTATTTCCAAAAAAATCAGCCATTGACAACCCTATGGAATACAGATCTACTTTGACATACATGGGATCACCACTAGTCAGAGTTAACTCAAAAACAATTGTGGTGGTTTTGAAGCAGAAACCATAGAATATAGATTTGGCTTTCTCAAGTGTATAGTACAATGCCAGACACATAGAAAGAATTCATCACATATTTATTAAACTACTATGTATTATGATTTATGCATTAATTTATAATTTATGCATTAATAAACTTATGCATAAATAATTTAATGCATTGGTTTGTTATTATTACTTTAATAAATAATAACATCAATTTACTGTTAATTTAATAAACAATTTTTATTATTAATAATAAAATTAATAATTTATGCATTAATCACAGTATTTCACTAAAAAGAGATATAAATGCCATGTGAAAACAAAACAGACCAAACAGGTATTTTAGAAATGGATGCAAGACTCAAAGGCAGCTCAGGACCTACCTTCAGAAATGTCCCTGAGGAGCTGAACAATCACTAACTGATTTCCAACTCAAGAACTATGCAAGTAGGGGAAAAGGGGTATATACGTAATTTTGCTTAGAACAAAGATCCAACCAGCACTTGAAATTCTTAAATTTTACATGATGGACCTTGAAGCCAACTCTTCTCTCTCCCTCTCTGTCTCTATTTCTAAATATGTTTACTCAAATTTCTAGCACCATGAAAATCAAGTTACTATTATTCTCTACCCTCATCAGAAACTTTTGGGCTAGCCCCTTTCTCTCTGTTAGCCATCTTTTCTGTTTTCTTCCACTCCAGACTCCCCTCTCCTTTATAAAGATGTTTCTGAAAAAATAAAAAGTAGTCCATCCTTTTGAAAACAGCCGACATTCCCTAGCCTGATAAATCTAAAGACTCTAAATATGGGATTAGTTCATGGTCAGGTTGGTGGACTTTGGATTGGTCACTGATTCGGTTGCTCTATCTCTTCACTGGCCCTGAGTTTAGAAACAGAGCCCCAGGTACCCAGTCCTCTAACTCAACACCTTCTCACCCTGCAGCTAACATCTGAAAATGAGGGATCTGGTGCCCAGAAAGGTAGTGATGTAGTATTCTCAGCAGAGAAGGGAAGAGATGTAACATTTACGAAGTGGTATTAGGTAATCAGAGCCCCTGGATTATGTAAGCAGTTTAACAGCTCAGCTGCTAACTGACTCTGATTCAAGTTCCACTCAGAGGTACCCTGGAAGAAAGAACTCGTATTTATTTCTAAAAAACCAGCCACTGAAAATCCAATGGAGCATAGTTCTACTCTGACACACATAGGGTCTACTATGAGTTGCAACAGACTCAATGGCACCTGGTTCTAAGTGCTAGGCATAGAGTGAAATACAACTTAAAGAGAGTATGTTTCACAATACATGATAGATTTCTCTTGTGAAGAAATGCAGAAAACAAAATAATTGTTTATGCATTGAGGAACTTCATATTTAAAGGAATTGCAAATGTTTTACAGCTTATGAAATGTAAATAATCCTGCAAGTTTTCATCTGGTTTGTGGGGAGAGAGCAGAATGGTCTTTTCCACCAGGATGCACACAGACACTTCATAGTCAACAAGTCCTGATGAGCCCAATGCTCAGAAAAAGTTTTGCACCTCTTTCTGTGTTCTTCCTCTTGCCTACTGGTTGTGCCATTCCCCAGGTCCAGAATCTGGGCCACTGCAGCACCCTCTTAAACTATCCTTGTCTACTCTCCTCTAATACACTGTCCACACAATTGCCTTTGGAAATCTCTCTAAAACACAAATCTGCTCATATCTCTACCCTTCTTGAAATATCACAACAGCTCCCTATTGACTTCCAAGTGTTCAGCATGACATACTTTTATAATTCACACTTAGCCTGTAAATCCATCCTTGTTCTCACCTCTGTCCCCTGCATGCAGCTCTCCAATGGGAGTTTGCTGAATTTACTGCACCTTGTCACACCTCCAGGAGCTCTGGTAGCGCCTAAGGCATCTGACTGCTAACCAGAAAGTGGGTGGTTCAAACCCACCAGCCACTCTGAGGAAGCAAGACTGGGCAAGCTACCTCCATAAAGATTTACTGCCTCAGAAACTCAATGGGGGTCGCCATGAGTCAAAATCAAATACTTGATGGCAGTGGGTTTAGGGTTTTTTTTTTTTGTCATATGTCCAAGCCCTTGACTGTGCTACTACCTCTACCTTTGTCCTCCATCCTTGCCCCTTCTACCTTCCCCTAGCTAATTCCTATGAGCTTTCATCACCAGCTCAGGTATTGGTGCCCCAGGTAGTCTCCAGCAAAAAAGAACATGAAGCAGTTCTCAAGCTAGATATGTAATTTAAAATTTTCTAGTTAACATATTTTAAAAAGTAAGGAGAAACTGATAAAATTCATTTTAATAACACATTTTTAAAACCAAAATATTGCAAATAATATTATTTCAACATGTAATCAATATTTATAAGTTATTAATAAGATGTCTTATATTCTTTTAGGAACTCTGGTGGCACAACACTTAAGTGCTCAGCTACTAACTGAACGGTTAGCAGTTCAAACCCCAGCAGCTCCATGGGAGAAAGATCTGGTGATCTTCTTCCCATAAAGATTAAAACCTAAAAAAACCCTATGAAGTTCTACTCTGTCCTATAGGGTTGCTATGAGTTGAAATTGACTCAACAGCCCCTAACAACAAAAAAAATATTCTTTGATTTCTAACTCTTTGAAATGCAATGTGTAGATTACACTGATGACACATTTCAATTTGGACTAGCCACATTTCAAGAGCTCAACAGCCACATGTGGCAAGTAGCTACCACAGTGGACTTCACTGCTCTAGAAAACTTAAGAATCACCCAAGTATGTTAAAACCAGAATCCTGCACTATGCTTCCAAAGGTTCTAGTCTGGTGGCCTGGTCAGGAATGCTTATTTCAACACGAATCAGACAATTCTGATGCACATGTTCCTCAGGCCTCACTGCAGGAAACATGCTTAGTGCTAAACACACCAATTTTGGAGTCAGACCCACTGGGGTTTGCAGCCTAACTACCATTTAATTAGCTGTCTAACCTAATGACTTTTCTTTTCTGGTCTCAGTTTCCTTACCTGCAAAGTAAAGCTAATAATACCTACTTAGGGACTTGTGGGAATTGAATGAGATGTTGGATTTAAGAGTCAGCACAATACCTGGTACATCTCCAAAATGGTAGCTGCTAACTGTCTGAATGCAACCCACCTCACTCCATCCCTCCTTTATGGGAAACATGTTCTTTCTACCACCGTCCCCCTAACTCTGTGTTTTCCTCCACCAGAGACTACACCACACTCTGTTATCATCTGCTTGCTAGTTTGTGGCATCAGCTAGACTGAAGACAGAAACTGGCTAGTATACATTTTTACATCCCTATGTAACAACAACAACAACAACATGCCACACCATAGTAGGTGCTGAGTATATATAACTTTTTAGGAATTGAAATGAATTTCAAGGGAGTTTCCTCTAGTGGAGTAACACTCTTTATAGTAAAATACCTCACCTTCTCTTACAGAAAGGAAATGTGTAAATATCAAGTGGACTGTACCCCTGTTATCCTGATATTCTTCTTTTTAAAGTCTGTCACAGAAAGCTTTGCCAAACTGATCCATGGCTTGAACGTGGCGCACCTGACAGATCGTGTTATTCAGAGGAGCAAGAGGATGATTCTGGATACTCTGGGCGTTGGACTCCTGGGAACCAGTACAGAGGTGTTTCACAAAGCCAACCAGTATAGTAAAGTAAGAAGCTTCTAGTCCACTTTAGAGATAAAACTGAGTGTGCACACATGCTTAAACACCCCATGAGTATACTCAAGGATGTGTGCATGTTTTCTATTTACTCTGTTGTTGCTGTTGTTGCTGTTTGCCATCGAGTCGGCCCCGACTCAGCGACCCCTCCTTGGGTTTCCGAGGCAGTATCACTACGGAAGTAGGATTGCCCAACCTTCCTTCCGAGGAGTGGCTGGTGGGTTTGAACCGCCAGCCTTCTGGTGAGCAGTCAAGTGCCTTAGGCACTATGCTACCAGAGCTCCTTTTTATTCATAGTACCTGGTATATATAGCATTGTTGTATACAGTTTCATGCTTTACTATCTTATATTTAATATTCATCCATATCCTTAATTAACTCTCTTAAGACTATGCACTATTTATTTCTCATTGTTTATTACTATTATGACTAAAAATATTTTTACCTGAAAGTCTTAGAAGTAATAGCACCTATCCCAGATCCTTTATTCCTGCAAAGACTTTAAGATTATCTGGAGAAAAGGCTGGTGGAACACTCCAAGGAGAGAGAGGGATGGCATGGAGAGAGTAGTAGTCCCTCTCCAGAGAATGCACTTGGCATTGACTTTTAGTTCACCTTCCCTAATATGTGCACTCCCACCAAAGGAGAAATACGTCACAAATGTAAACATTCAGGATCTATCCCCTGTAGACCTTCTGTATCAAAATCCAGGATTCAGCAGTAGCATGTCCTCTCCCTTCTATTGGAGAATTATGGATTCCTCAACAAAGCAGAGAAGAATGCATCGATTAAGGTTAAATCTAATGTTGCTGTTAGTTACCATCAAGTTGGTTCCAACTCATAAAGACTCTATGAACAAAAGGATGAAATGCTACCTGGTCCTGGACCATCCTACAATTTTGACTACATTTGAGCCCATTGTTGCAGCCACTGTGTCAATCCATCTCACTGAGAGTAGTCCTCTTTTTTACTGAGTCTCTACTTTACCAAGCATGATGTCCTTCTCCAGAAACTGGTCCCTCCAAATAACATGTCCAAAGTACGTGAGACAAAGTCTCACCATCCTCACTTCTAAGGAGCATCTGGCTGTCCTTATTTCAAAACAAATTTGTTTGTTCTTCTGGCAGTCCATGGTATATTTAGCATTCTTTGCCCACATCATGATTCAAAAGTATTGATTCTTCTTCAGTTTTCCTTATTCATTGTCCATCTTTTGTATGTATATGAGGCAAATGAAAATACCACAGCTCAAGTCAAGTATACCGCGGTCCTCAAAGTGACATCTTTGCTTTTTACACTTTAAATAAGGCTTTTGCAGATTTGTCCAAAGCAATATGTCATTTGGTTTTCTGACTGCTGCTTCCATGGGTTTGATTGTGGATCCAAGTAAAATGAAATCCTTGACTACTTCAATATTTTCTCTATTTCTGGTGATGTTGCTTATTTGTCTAGTTGTGAGGATATTTGCTTTCTTTATGTTGAGGTGTAATCCATATTAAAGGCTGCAGGCTTTGATCTTCTTCAGTAAGTGCTACAAGTCCTCTTCACTTTCAGCAAGTAAAGGTGTGTTATCTGCAAATTGCAGGTTATTAATGAGTCTTCCTCTAATCCTTATACCATGTTCTTCTTCATGTAATCCAGCTTCTCAGATTATTTGTTCTGCATAAAGATCGAATGAGTGTGGTGAAAGGATACAACCCTGACACACACTTTTCCTGATTTTAAACCACACAATATCCCCTTGCACTGTCTGAATGACTGCCTCTTGAATCTAATACAAGGGGTTAAAATAAGGCCTATTAATAAATATTTAAAGTGATGAACAATTCTTGGAATTGAAACTCGACATGTTGTGTTCACCTGTGTGACACTTATTATTGTTCTTTTGTTTCAGATCTACACTTCCAACATATCCAGCATTGTTTGGGGCCAGTCGGACGTCAGGCTTCCACCCACATATGCTGCTTTTGTTAATGGTGTAGCTGTAAGGAGGCTTATATGTCTTTTCAACTAGTAGATAATCACAATAATTTCAGACCCAGGAAATATCTCAGAAATAATCTCACTTCCAGGTTTTATAGATGAAATCATTTAAGTGTAGAAAGATGAAGTGGTAGTTTCTCTTACATATGTAATAATTTCAGTTTTTGTGTTTTTACAGTGAGTTCATGCTTTTCAAACAAACTGTGAAGTAGAGGAAACAGGATGGAAATATTTAGATTAAAATACCCCCAAGATATCCCAACTCTAAACCTTTAAGATAGATAGATAAGTAGATAGATGGAGATGTACAGCAAGAAATAGAAAACCCAATACCCAGACCCTTCTCAAATCCCACAGTATTTCCTTCTTCTGTTGGTGGCCACTGTGATGTTACTACTATCTAGTGACATTCTATTCATTAATTCATTCAACAAATAACTTATCTATCTTAGATTTTACATTCTCTACTTTAGAATGCCCGTAAGATGTCTGTATTTTCTGAACCAAATTTAGTACTCTCAATCTGACAGATTTTTATGTTTTTCTGTGTGTTGGGGGCAACCTACAAGATATAATTTGGCCATGAACACCTCAGGATTTCTGAGATATTTTTATGGTCATGAGGACAGTAGCTCAGAATATTGAAAGTCAAACCCACCAGTGCATCCAGAAGTAAATGACCCATAATCAGTGAGAAATGCACCAGCCACATCAAATAGACATAAAAATAGTTTTAAAATAAACTGCTGGTTATTACTAGCAATTTCATAAAAGGTGAAAACAAATGGCTGAGATAGAGAAATTAAAACATTATAGCCAAAAATCATGATTTAAAAGTACAGCTTAATAATTAACCTGGGTTCAGGTTTCTTATACTATTTTTGCAACTTCTCCATAAATTTGAAATTATTTCAAAATAAAAAGTTGCAAAATTGCCTGGTATGGAATAAAGGGCATTAAACTTTTAGTGCCATTTGTTTACAGGATGGGGGAGATGAAGAGCAGCCACCTGACTACACAGTTTTGGTAACAATGGTTATTAACATAATTACTGCAAACCAAAAGGTTAGAGGTTCAAGTCCATCCAAAGGTACCTCAGAAGAAAAGCCTGGCAATCTACTTCAAAATTGAGCCACTGAAAAATCCTACAGAGCATTGTTCTACTCTGACACATATGGGGTCACCATGAGTCAGAGTTTACTTAATTAAGTGCAACTGGTTAATTAGCATCTTCCCAGGGGCTGTGGCAGAGAAAGCCTGACCACTTGGGCAAGACCCAAGCTTCTTAGGGCTCACAAGATGCTGTCCAAGGTCTTGCCCACCTCTTGGTAAAGGGATAGTGTGTCCCAGTGCCCAGCAATGTGACTATGAATTATTGCCAGTTCATGGGTTTTATTTTCAGAGAGTCAGATCGAAAAACTTCACATCACATTAAGTTATTGATAAGCTAAATCCTTACTGGTCTAACTGCCATTGCATTTGAGAAAGTACTTTTTTTTGTTGTTGCTGCTGTTTGTGTGTCTGCTTACACAGATTCACTCAATGGATTTTGATGACACCTGGCATCCTGCCACTCACCCTTCTGGAGCTGTCCTTCCTGTCCTCACAGCTTTATCAGAAGCCCTGCCACAAAATCCAAAGTTCTCTGGTCTTGACCTGCTGCTGGCTTTCAATGTTGGTATTGAAGTGCAAGGTCAATTAATGCATTTCTCCAAGGAAGCCAATGACATACCAAAGAGGTATGGAGTGAATTTGTACCATTGAGACCAAAACACCCTCTGACATACAGGTTGGCTGAGTTGGGGATGTTAACATTAGTGGTGACTGATAAGTCAATTTATCAATCACATCTCACACTCTATATCCATGTACAAAGGTGTGATTTCAGCATTCTTTCAGGTTTAGAAACCCAATCAAGGGACCAGAATCTTGAAATAAATGGCTAATAAAAGGATAAATTAAATAAATCCCAGGGTGAATTTTATCATTCCAGCATCTCATCCTCAAAGCAGAATCGACTCTGACATTCACTCACTAAGGTCCTTCAGGTAGATGAGAACGTTCCGAGTTTCCTAAACCTGACTGTACATCCCAGAGGCAAAAATGGTCAAATGTTGGCAGTTTAATATGGTTCGAACTAATATTTATTTTGCCACTTAAACCCAGCTGGCTAAGAGATGAGGCTGTACTATTGCATGTTGCATGAACTTTTACAGTTTTTACAAGGCCTTCAATTTTTACAGTTACTTAATTGAGGCTTCAGCAATCAATAACAACTTTTACCTCTCTGGTAATAACTGAAACATTATGTGTCAGGCAAAAATGACTGATGAATTCATTCAATCCTCACAAAACCCTAAGAAGTAGACTATTTAATTATCATCATTTTACACTAAAAAAAAAAAAAAACATACAGAGAAGTTGAATAAATTTCCCAAAATCAAACAATTAAATAGTAGGGAGTTCCTGGGTGGCACAAATGATTAACAAACACTTGGCTGTTAACTAAAAGGTCGGAAGTTTGAATCCACCAGAGGCTCTAGGGAAAAAGCCTGGTGATCTACTTCTGAAAAATCAGCCATTGAAAACCCTGTAAGTAGAGTTCTACTCTGATAACTTAAGGTCGCCATGAGTTGGAATCTATTCAATGGCAACTGATGAATCAACAGAGCTGATATTTACTGAAACCACGCACTGTGGCTTTAGAATCTGCTCCTGACACTGCACTTACTGCCTCGTGGTAGATGAAATTTGTAAATCTCCAACTCTTCTTCTTTGCTTTTCAGATTCCATCCACCCTCAGTGGTCGGAACTTTGGGTAGTGCTGCTGCTGCATCCAAGTTTTTAGGGCTCAACTTGACCAAGTGCCGAGAGGCCCTGGCTATTGCTGTTTCCCATGCTGGGGCACCCATAGCCAATGCTGCCACTCAGACCAAGCCCCTCCACCTCGGCAATGCTGCCAGGCATGGAATAGAAGCTGCTTTTCTGGCAATGCTGGGTCTCCAAGGAAACAAGAAAATCTTGGACATGGAGGCAGGGTTTGGAGCCTTCTATGCCAACTACTCCCCCAAGGTCCTTTCAAACTTAGATTCCCACACTTGGCTTCTAGACCAGCAGGATGTGGCATTCAAGCGTTTCCCTGCCCACTTGGCGACCCATTGGGTGGAAGATGCAGCTGCATCTGTGAGGAGGCAGCTTGTGACAGGTAGCGCCCCACTTCCTGTTGATCACATCCAGAGAATTGTACTCAGATTCCAGATGTCCAGTATGTAAACAGGCCCTTCCCAGACTCAGAGCATGAAGCCCACCACTCCTTCCAGTATGTGGCCTGTGCCACACTGCTCAATGGTGGTGTCACTGTCCCATCATTCCACAAATGCCAGATCAACAGGCCACAGGTGAGACAGCTGCTTAGGAAGGTGGAGCTAGAGTACCCTCCAGACAACCTGCCAAGCTTCAACACACTGTACTGTGAAGTGAGTGTCACCCTCAAGGATGGAGCCACCTTCACAAAGCGCTCCAATACCTTCTATGGTCACTGGAGGAAACCACTGAGCCAGGAGGACCTACAGGAGAAGTTCAGAGCCAATGCCTCCATGATACTGCCCTGTGACAAAGCGGAAAGTCTTATACAGATTATAGAAAAACTGGAAGACATAGATGACTGCTCCATGTTAACCACACTTCTGAAAGAACCCTGTGTACCACAGGAGCCTTCAAAATCTATCCAACATGTAATATTTTCATCCTGCAATCTTTCCTGAAAGTAATCAAGGTCTAAATGACTTTGCATTTAGGTGATTCAATGATTTCCTGCATGGATCAAAGGTCTGCTGTTTGCTCTGCCCAGGGTTAAATGAGGCAAGACAAAGAGTCCAGAAACAGAACTGTATATACATGGAAAGAGAAGTTTTGTCTGGAAGATTTCTCAAGACAATTCCAATTACCTAAAGAAATATAATAAATATGCAAGAAACACAAAGAAATTGATTCTATAAACATTCATCAGGCTGAAATTCAAAATACCTATGATTGGATTATGAAGTTAATTTTCTCAGTGGAGTTATTTACAAACTTCATGAACCTCAAGGCTTGACAAAAATGTGGATTTGTGTGCATTTTTGCTGAGAGTAGAGAAGGGCTCTGGTCTGCTGTGCTACCAACAGCAGATTACTATCAAGTCTTCCACAGTGGAGGAGGGCTATTGGGTTTAAATATAAGGCCCTAGTGGGTGCAAATAAGCCCTGAGAGCATAGTGGTTAAGCGTTCAGCTGCTAACAAAAAAAGGCTGGCTGTTCAAATCCACTAGCTACTCTGTGGGAGAAAGATGCAGCAGTTTGCTCCCACAAACATTATGGCCTTGGAAATCCTTTGGGGAAGTTCTACCCAGTTCTATATGGTTACCACGAGTCAGAATCACTTTACTCCATGACAATGGATTCTTGGTTCAAATCCTGCCCCTGACACTTACTAGATTTGACCCTGGGCATATTACTTGCTCTCATCTTTCTCAGTTTCTCCATTTGTAAAGCAGAGATGAAAAGCAGTGCGGAAGGAAAAAAAAAAAAAAAAGCTGTTTAGCTATAGAAGCCATGCTCTTAACCACTCTATCACCTTTCAGAACAAAAAGATTTTGAGAAAAATGTCTCAAATAAAAAGTCTGAGATGCAAGAAAGAATAAAAACAAAAAATATGTAAATATGGAGTAATTAAATAAATACTGACTATATAAAACAATATAAACACATTTTGGGGTTAAAAATTGGAACATTAGCAATATATATAGGGAGGAGGTTATCAAAGTTAATAAATTCCTTGTGTTGCTTGAGGAAAGGGCAAAGATACTAACTCTAGAAGGTGATTAGATATGCATGTTAAAATTTTATGCTAACCATTAGAGATCAGCAGTGGAGTGTAGCACTTCTGGGTAAAAGAGGAGGAAAATGAAGTTAAAAGAAAATAATCAGTCTAAAAGAAGGCAAGAAAAGAGAAAAGAAGCATAGAAAAAGTAGGACTGACAGAAAGCACACTATAAAATGAGAGAAATTCAAATACATCCATAATTACAAAAAGAGTAAATTAACTGAATATTCCTGTTAAAAATGACAAGATTGTCTGAACATATTTTTTAAGAAATGTTTGACAGCTTTACTGGCATCTAAAACTCATGTTATGTGTACAGTTCAATGGGTTTTAGTAAATTCATAGCATGTGCTATCACTACAATTCAGTACTGGAATACTTCCATCACTCCAAAAAGTTCCCTCATAGGAATTTGAAGGCAATCCTCACTCCCTCCTTAAGTGCTCAGCAACCACTGATTTACTTTGTATCTCTGTAACCTTGCCTTTTCTGGACATGTCATATAAATGGAATCATATAATGTGTCTCACGTCTGGCTTCTTTCACTTAGCATAATGGTTTTCAGATTCAACTTTGTATTAGTACTTCCTTCTTTTCTATTGCTGAATAATATTCAGCATTCTATTATAAGGATAAAACTTTTATTATTATTATTATTCACTAGTTAATGGTCAATTGGATTGTTTTTAGTTTTGGGCTGTTATGAATAGTGCTTTTATGAATATCCATACACAAGTCTTTGGATTAACATATTTCTATTCCTTTTGACTAGATACGTAGTAATGGGAATGTGGGGTCATTTGATAAGTATGTTAACCTTATTTAAAAGAACCAAAACAAAGCTGCCAAACTGTTTTCCAAAGTAGCTCTCTCACGTTACATTTCCACCAACAATGTATAAGGATGCCAGCTTCTCCTCATCCTCACCAACCCTTGACATTGTCAGTCATTTTTATTTTAGCCATTCTGGTAAGTGTGGAATGGTATCTTATTGTGATTTTCATTTGTATTTCCCTAATGACTAAATATTTACCAAAAAAAAAAAAAACTTACTGCCGTCGAGTTGGATCCAACTCATAGAGACCCCTCCTTGGGTTTCTGAGGCAGTATTACTACTGAAGTAAATTGCCCAACCTTTCTTCCGAGGAGTGGCTGGTGTATTTGAACCACTGGCCTTCTGGTTAGTAGTCAATTGCCATAGGCACTATGCCACCAGGGAACTCCAATTCTTTTCATCAGATTATCTTCTCATTAATGAGTTGTTAGGAGTCCTTTACATATTCTGGATATAAGTCTTTTAACCAGTCCTTTATCCATATATCAGATATGTGTTTTACAAATATTTTCTCCCAACCTGTGGCTTTTCTTTTCATATTCTTAATGGTATTTTCTGAAGAGTAAAAGTTTTTCATTTTAATTTTCTTTGTTGGTTACCAGGGGTGGGAGGGGAGAGGAGGGAATGCTGTTAGATAGATAAAGTATTGATTTGGGTGAAGAGAAGGGCAATGTACCAAATGTGAGTGACCAATATGGCAGCACTGAGGATGAGAA